CTCGCTTGTGTTTGTATTTGAACTCATGTTGGTAGTAATCATGGACAGGGGCAGCAATCCTGGATCCGATACGGGGACACGTCCCCCAGGAAATTTAGTAATATAGCTAGAAAGAAATCTAGCGGAAAGAACGTACATATTGAGCTTAGGAATTTTCTAGAATACATGATTTCAGCATTCAACATTGCAAAATCTCGCTTGGTCGCTACGTACACCCCGGTCCTCGCCCGATAACACAAAACTATGATATGACGCTCCCGGGCCGTGATTTATCCATGGTTGGTGTAATAGATCTGTTTTTTCTTTCATTTCTACTAACCTAATATTATTATGTGCTATCACAATCATGATTGTTTTACTTTCCCTTTAAAGCAGGCACATAGCTAGGGGCGGTAGGGGTAGTAAGAGGACATAGGACGAAAAAGGAGCAGACAAAGCAACATTTTTGGAAATTCTGACAAGTCGAGAACGGTACAACGAATCGTCTTCTTTCTCTAATAATAAATGAAATGTCAAAGCTTCCGCGCTTCGCTCACTCGGGGGCAACTGAATTCAGACAAGGATTGAGAGTCGAGAATGAAACAACAAATCGTCTTCTTTCACTAATAATTTAATGAAAACTAAATTCAAACAAGGATTAAGAGTCGAGAATGGAACAACGAATCATCTTCTTTCTCTAATAATTTAATAAAACGTCAAAGCTTCCACGCCTCGTGCTGAAGGGGGAAAGCTGAATTGAAACAAGGATTAAGAGACGAGAATGGAACAAAGAATCGTTTTCTTTCTCTCATAATTTAATGAAGCGTCAGAAGTTTACGCGCGGGCGGGGAAAATTGAATTTAGACAAGGATTGAGAGTCGAGAATGGAACAACGAATCATCTTCTATCTCTAATAATTTAATAAAACTACAAAGCTTATGCGCTTCGCCAGTAATGGGAGGGGGGAACAGCGAGCTGCCCGAATATGATTTTTAAAAAAATATTTTCTCATTTATTTTGATGACAAATAACACTTTCACAAAATACAATTTATGCTCAAATTTTTGCTCGCTCGCTTCGCTCTCTAGCCGAATTGTGAAACCAGAAAATTATTTTTTCGTGCAAGGGGCTATAGCCCCCCCCCCCCCCCCCGATGTTCCGGTATCGTGCTTCCATTATGACCTTGTCAGTATTGGTATATTGAGTTGGACAAAAACGGTCTGCGCAATTTTTAAATTTCCGGTCCCCCCCCCCCCCCCAACCCCCTATTGGAAAATCCTGGATCCGCGCCTGAGTGATGTGTAGACAAAACAATACAATTACCCAAAGATAGAAATTTTGGAACACGTAGAATGCAGCTTGGAACATATACAATGCAATAGCTTAAATAATGGGAGTGTGTAGGCAAAACAATACAATATTATTACCGAAAGAGTTGGAACACGTAGAATGGAGCTTGGAACATGTACAATGCAATAATTTGGATGATGGGAGTGTGTAGGCAAAACAATACAACTACCCAAAGATAGAAATTTTGGAACACGTAGAATGCAGCTTGGAACATATACAATGCAATAACTTCAATAATGGGAGTGTGTAGTCAAAACAATACAATTACCAAAAGATAGAAAATTTGGAACACGTAGAATGCAGCTTGGAACATGTACATGCAATGCAATAATTTGAATAATGGGAGTGTGAAGTCAAAACAATGCAATTACCAAAAGATAGAAATTTTGGTACACGTAGAATGCAGCTTGGAACATATACAATGCAATAGCTTAAATAATGGGAATGTGTAGGCAAAACAATACAATTACCCAAAGATAGAAATTTTGGAACACGTAGAATGCAGCTTGGAACATGTACAATGCAATAATTTGGATGATGGGAGTGTGTAGGCAAAACAATACAATTACCCAAAGATAGAAATTTTGGAACACGTAGAATGCAGCTTGGAACATATACAATGCAATAACTTCAATAATGGGAGTGTGTATAGTCAAAACAATACAATTACCAAAAGATAGAAAATTTGGAACACGTAGAATGCAGCTTGGAACATGTACATGCAATGCAATAATTTGAATAATGGGAGTGTGAAGTCAAAACAATACAATTACCAAAAGATAGAAATTTTGGTACACGTAGAATGCAGCTTGGAACATATACAATGCAATAGCTTAAATAATGGGAGTGTGTAGGCAAAACAATACAATTACCCAAAGATAGAAATTTTGGTACACGTAGAATGCAGCTTGGAACATATACAATGCAATAATTTGGATGATGGGAGTGTGTAGGCAAAACAATACAATTACTTAAAGATGGAAATTTTGGTACACGTAGAATGCAGCTTGGAACATATACAATGCAATAGCTTAAATAATGGGAGTGTGTAGGCAAAACAATACAATTACCGAAAGAGTTGGAATGCAGCTTGGAACGTGTACAATGCAATAATTTGAATGATGGGAGTGTGTAGGCAAAACAATATTATCCCCTAAAGATAGAAATTTTGGAACACGTAGAATACAGCTTGAAACATGTACAATGCAATAATTTGAATGATGGGAGTGTGTAGGCAAAACAATACAATTACCCAAAGATAGAAAATTTGGAACACGTAGAATGCAGCTTGGAACATGTACAATGCAATAATTTGAATGATGGGAGTGTGTAGGCAAAACAATATTATCCCCTAAAGATAGAAATTTTGGAACACGTAGAATACAGCTTGAAACATGTACAATGCAATAATTTGAATGATGGGAGTGTGTAGGCAAAACAATACAATTACCCAAAGATAGAAAATTTGGAACACGTAGAATGCAGCTTGGAACATGTACAATGCAATAATTTGGATGATGGGAGTGTGTAGGCAAAACAATACAATTACCAAAAGATAGAAATTTTGGAACACGTAGAATGCAGCTTGGAACATGTACATGCAATGCAATAATTTGAATAATGGGAGTGTGAAGTCAAAACAATACAATTACCAAAAGATAGAAATTTTGGTACACGTAGAATGCAGCTTGGAACATATACAATGCAATAGCTTAAATAATGGGAGTGTGTAGGCAAAACAATACAATTACCCAAAGATAGAAATTTTGGAACACGTAGAATGCAGCTTGGAACATGTACAATGCAATAATTTGAATGATGGGAGTGTGTAGGCAAAACAACACAATTACTTAAAGATGGAAATTTTGGTACACGTAGAATGCAGCTTGGAACATATACAATGCAATAGCTTAAATAATGGGAGTGTGTAGGCAAAACAATACAATTACCGAAAGAGTTGGAATGCAGCTTGGAACGTGTACAATGCAATAATTTGAATGATGGGAGTGTGTAGGCAAAACAATATTATCCCCTAAAGATAGAAATTTTGGAACACGTAGAATACAGCTTGAAACATGTACAATGCAATAATTTGAATGATGGGAGTGTGTAGGCAAAACAATACAATTACCCAAAGATAGAAAATTTGGAACACGTAGAATGCAGCTTGGAACATGTACAATGCAATAATTTGAATGATGGGAGTGTGTAGGCAAAACAATATTATCCCCTAAAGATAGAAATTTTGGAACACGTAGAATACAGCTTGAAACATGTACAATGCAATAATTTGAATGATGGGAGTGTGTAGGCAAAACAATACAATTACCCAAAGATAGAAAATTTGGAACACGTAGAATGCAGCTTGGAACATGTACAATGCAATAATTTGGATGATGGGAGTGTGTAGGCAAAACAATACAATTACCAAAAGATAGAAATTTTGGAACACGTAGAATGCAGCTTGGAACATGTACATGCAATGCAATAATTTGAATAATGGGAGTGTGAAGTCAAAACAATACAATTACCAAAAGATAGAAATTTTGGTACACGTAGAATGCAGCTTGGAACATATACAATGCAATAGCTTAAATAATGGGAGTGTGTAGGCAAAACAATACAATTACCCAAAGATAGAAATTTTGGAACACGTAGAATGCAGCTTGGAACATGTACAATGCAATAATTTGAATGATGGGAGTGTGTAGGCAAAACAACACAATTACTTAAAGATGGAAATTTTGGTACACGTAGAATGCAGCTTGGAACATATACAATGCAATAGCTTAAATAATGGGAGTGTGTAGGCAAAACAATACAATTACCCAAAGAGTTGGAATGCAGCTTGGAACGTGTACAATGCAATAATTTGAATGATGGGAGTGTGTAGGCAAAACAATATTATCCCCTAAAGATAGAAATTTTGGAACACGTAGAATACAGCTTGAAACATGTACAATGCAATAATTTGAATGATGGGAGTGTGTAGGCAAAACAATACAATTACCCAAAGATAGAAAATTTGGAACACGTAGAATGCAGCTTGGAACATGTACAATGCAATAATTTGGATATGATTGGAGTGTGTAGGCAAAACAACACAATTACCCAAAGATAGAAATTTTGGTACACGTAGAATGCAGCTTGGAACATATACAATGCAATAACTTAAATAATTGGAGTGTGTAGTCAAAACAATACAATTACCGAAAGATAGAAATTTTGAAACACGTAGAATGCAGCTTGGAACATGTACAATGCAATAACTTGATTGATGCAAACAATGCAACCATGACAAAGATATAAATTTGGGACACGCAAAATGCAGTTTGGAACAGGTTAGATGCAACAACTTATATTGATGCAAGTATGAAGTCACAACAGTACAATACAAATTTAGAAATGCACTAACTTAATTGATGCAAGTATAGATGCAATTAATGTCTTCAAAACAATACAAGTGTAGTGAAATACATATAATTCTTGCTTGAATCAGTAGTGCAGATGTGCTGTCATAGCCTAGATAGATATGCATGCACAGCGTGTACGGACAGTACACACGCCGTGTCGGCACAAGCATAATGCATATTCATTAGGGGGCGTCAACATTTCCTTTACGTAGTGACGTGCGCAAACCTCTACAGGTTCCAAAAGATTGCCTACCGTCTGTACGTCGCTGAGCAAAATCTCAGACAGCGTATTATCTAGATATAATACATAGCTATGGTATTATCTAGAAAGCTTTTTTTTCGAGATAATCATTGGCCTCTTTATTACACCGCGTTGTCTCTTGGAAAAGCCTGAGAAGCAAAAAGTGTTAACACTTGCATCGTCGATCCGCCAAGCTCGGTATCAGGGATGATGCTATTATAGTTTATATCTCCATGGCATAGATCTATCATTGATATTCTACACGCTGGTATAAATTAGAAAAGCTCTCGATCTACTATGGAAGGTAAGTTGGTCAACTTTTTGTTTGCTTACAATGAGCCTGTAGGCACAGGCCTACTATGCTCAATGAGTGTTGTTCTTCCCATAGACCTACCACTGTTCTTCCCAAGCCTAATCGAAATTTTCAAGAATAGTCTACGTTACAAAGGCGGCAAAGTTTGGAATAATTTAGCCTCTAACCTACAAAATGCACAATTCATCGACTGTTTTAAAAACATGTATAAGAAAACCTATTTCAGCAAATTATGAATAATATCATCGTTGTTTTTGCTCTTTTTACTTTAAGTTTAATTTGATACTTCATGATATAAGTTCATTTTGTAGTGTGATAGAGTTTTGATTTTAAATAGATTAGTTGATAATTTGATTCTGTTATTGTGTTTGTATATATTTAATTAAATATCATGTAACTTTGACTTGGTTTTTACTCAAGATTATGGTCACTAAATACTTTTATCATGACTTCATGAGTATTTTAACAATTCTCATTATAGTTGTATGATTACTTTGTTTTGATGTTTTAGTGTAGGCTTTTAATATTCAGGACCAGAATGTAAACCAGTCCTTTCTGATCTTGTTATCCTGATGAATATGTTCAAATAAATAAATAAATAAATAAATTTGAATGAAGTAATATTGAGGCACTCTACAAAGACGAATGCATTATATTTGGTTACATTACGAAAATGGCCTATTAATGATTATTCGTTGTGTATGTGCATATATATTTCTCTTTCGTGCGCAAATCAATTTACATTGTTGGTTGGCTCAAGGAGTTATTAATGTATAACTCCTGAGTTGGTTTTAAATGGTTTTAGTACTGGTCCCAGGTTCAATTAACACAATAATGATATCATATATATGCATGATATGAAAGGGAATGAAACTTCATTTGTTATGATGTATTCCGATATAGAATATAGTTTTTTTGACGAGATGTTGCTGGAGAAAGTTGGGTTTCATTGTTTAAGAAACACTAGGCAGATATATAGGGGTAATGTAATATTTTTTTCGGTCTTGTCCGTGTTTTATGCCATAAATGTTACTGCCGGGGATATTGCTTTGATGATGCCTTATCATGATATATACGGATCTTCGGCTTGTGAAGACAATTATTCAGAACAAGCGTCAATTCTTCCAAACTTGAAAAAGGCGCCCCAGTTGTTAAACTGAATTGCTCACTTTTATCAGTATCTTTCCCTCACGGTTGGCATGCTTTGTTTTCATTATTTAATCGCTTTTTTGAATAAATAGGCTATTTGAAAATGTATGTTTATCTTTAATAAATAACCGGTGCTTATTCTTAGAGTTTGCATTACAGATCTGTGTATGGTTTCGGTCTGTACAATTTACAATGGAAGGCTTATATCTGAAAAGGCGCTTACAAACACCAATGGTGAAAATCAATAAACGCTATATTTAATAACCGAGAATATTTTGTTTATCTATTTCTCTAATACCTCTTAAACGATCACGATTCTGCTTATTAGCACTTTACTCTCTTTCTTTAATCGTACAATAAAAAAGTTTTTTTCTTTCAATGTAGTCCTTATACTCACATATTACAAACGTCGCCCTCCCCCCCCCCCCCCCCCCTTTCCACCTGCTCTCTCTCTCTCTCTCTCTCTCTTTCTTCTCCTCTCTCTTCCTTTTTATTATTTTCGTTTATATTATGTAATATGCACTATTATGTAACGTTTTGTAACTTATGTCTTAATTTTCTCTTTATGAGGTCCAAATCACAAGCCTCGAGCTTTTAGGGAATCTCGCCTCCGCAATTTTATATTTAGACCAATGCGTGAACAAAAAGAGATAACGTGCTTTTCGCGTTAGTATTCATCGGTATTCCAAATCTGTCTGCGTATACCCATAATAAGGAAACTATATTTTCAGACAAATCCGTCATGCTTGATTCATCATTAGCGGAAATAGAAGTCAAAAAGAAGTCGAGCAGTTATATGGCAACTAATGCCCATATTGGTATTATTTTATTATTTTGATATTAACCCTAAAAAGACTATTTGAAGCTGATTTAGCCACCTCCCCTTCCTCTATTTTCATGATTACTTCGCAATGCTAAAATATTTTTTCCTTATATAATCTTGCGCATCTTTTAATACCAAAATTTGCGCACACCGGGTCAAAGGTTGGATGTTATGTAACATTTTGCGATCGTGTGTCACTGTAAATTCGATTAAAAAAAAAAAAAACTCTCCCATATAATATATACAGAGTTTTTAGATGCATCTTTTTTGTTGCAGTTGTATGCCCATCTTTTCACATGTACTGTTAGTATTCCCATTTGGCATGGTGAATAAAACTTATCGCATTTTCATTTGCATAAATTAGTACAATATTATAAGGAATAATACAAAGAAAACACTTTGTTGCGTGATAGGTACCCCTTTACCGTAGATTTTGGTAACATGAATGCGGTCCCTCCGACCCCGGAGGAGGGGGGGGGGGGCATAGTTCTGGTAGTGATATCAAATTTGTGCAATGATTAAAAAATACTCAAATCCTCAATGTGGTCGGTAACATATGGGACAAATAGCTTGGACTTATAACTTACAGTAGGCCTATGTTCTTCTTCTATTCATTCCACAAGGTCTTATCTCCATCCGCTTCCTCTTTGCCTGCATGGCGTTTCTGGGGATAGCCACCGTTCAGATGATGCGGTTCAACATCAGCGTTGCCATGGCGATAATGGCTGGGAGTGGTCATCTCAACTCATCGGACCTGCTACTCTCGCAAACGCCGATGAATGGATCTTATCTTGCGAAATTCGACAACGCACTCATGAAGATGCATGATTGGAACATAAGTGAAAATACTGACTCAAAGGTAATATTTATGTTCTTTTTAGTTTATTCATATTTATTCATTTGTTTATTATTATTGGCTCCAATTTATCCTTTATCCTGGATCATGTTCCTGCGTAATGATTTATGTCCATGTTTCTTATTCCCAGGAGATTGATAAAGAAGAGACCGAGTTTAACTGGAGCAGTCACACCCAAGGTCTCCTCCTGGCCGCCTTCTTCATCGGGTATACCTTAGGTAACATTCCAGCGGGATGGCTTGCAGACAAGCTAGGAGGAAAGTGGATCATTTTTGGTGGGGCCTGTGGAAGCGCCATTTTGAATGCCTTGGGACCGCTAGCGGCTCGATCCAGCGTTGGTCTCTTCTTCGCAACACGTTTTCTGGCCGGTATTTCAGAGGTTTGTCTGCTAGAACACGATCGTAAACACTTTCAAAAAGCAACTGAAGAGCAATTTCATTACCTTGTTGTGTTGCCTATTGGAGCCATATTCGGATAATATATCTTTGTCATTTCGCACATTTAAAAAGATAGCGCACAAGGCTTAGCAATGATTGTCAGGTTTTTTAAATATTTATTTTAAAAAGGGTTGATTTTTCTTTAAATGTTTTGTGATCGTTTTAAGTTGAAGTAAGATACAGAAATAACCAGTTGGTAAAGGCAGCAATGCTAGCATACCGAAATAAGCAATCAGTCCATCGTTAAACTTCATTTGTAATAACATATCTTTGACATGAATGTGATAGATTTTTAGATGTCTTATGTAGGTCCACAAAAATGGACTTTATCCAAATGCGGTGACATAAAAGATGAAATAATAGCGAAGGGTCAGGCGGGTGTGTTCTGTAGGTCAAGAATAATGGACATTGGGTGCAGTTCCCACCGTCATCTTATTATTAAAGGAAACTTTCCTCAAATTTGGCCATTTACATACATGCAATTAACACTTTTCTTTAATCTTTGAATGATACTATCGCGCAACTTGGCTCTCCCTGGGTAGCAATATGCCAAGCGGTCCGTATTGAATCCTGTCCACGTACGTTCTCGCCAATCATCCACCTCGTCACACTGGGTTTGTCACAAAAATGTAACGTGTTTTGTGCAACGTGGATCGCCTACTTATTCTCTCTGTCATGTCAAATAATTGCTGAAAAGAAACAATAACTGACACTTGAAACAAATTTGAAGGTGACAGGAAACTTGATTTTACACTATCACTGTACAAAACGCATTTACACAGACGTACAGGTATAACGCATGGACACCCTAAGAAAAATATCTTCCTCCACAGACCCGTTACAATTTAAAACATGTAATGAATTCCAGTATTAAAGCGATTTTTGTCGTTTCTCAAACAGGGTTTCATCTTACCGGCTGTTAACACCATGGTGAATAATTGGTCACCAGTCAACGAGAGAACGCGAATGATGACATTTATTGTAGCAGGTGGGAATATACGATTAAGTTCGCTCTACTTTTCAGTACTTACGTCCTTTGAATAGAAAAACATAAATTTAAAATCGGGCAATATCAATAGCCTTGTCCGTCACTCATTTTGTGCGAACATTACACAAATTGTTAAAGGAGAGGGGCGGCATCCTCCAAAGACAGAGTTTCAGTAAATATATGTGAGCAGTTCCATCCCTGTACCCCCATAGCAAGTTTGATTTAACTCCAGATCCATATCTGCTGTGTACTAAATATTCTTGTTGTCATATTCTTGATCATGATCTTGTATATATACTGAATATTCATGTTTCAGGGTTTGCCTTTGGACCTGCCATTGGTCAGTCACTTTCTGGAATAATCTGTGCTAAACTCGGATGGCCTGCTAGCTTCTACTTTTTCGGTAAGAGACAGTGATAAATTAATATGAATTGTATAATGAACCATATTTTTTTTAATCGATGTAAAGAGCTTAGAAACTTTTTCTGTTAAGCACTATTATGTAATGACTAAATCATTCTGCATTCTGCGTCGTTGTAGGGTAAATAAAAAAAGGAAACAGGGAAGAAGCCCACAATACAGCTCTAATATAGTCACCAAGGAAATGCTGATAAGCTATATTAAAATAAAATGTGTATATATTGTTATTAGTTATATTATCTAAGGTTTGTCGTGATGGTTTGTTATTATGATCGTTAGTTCACCATGCCTACTTTTATTGGAATTTGTATTCATGGGGAAGAAAAACACAAACTTGAAGTTTTTCGAATTTTCTTCGATTGACAAATGGACAAATGACAAAGAGACATTTCATCTACGCTTAATGAATACATTGTTAAAGGGAAATCCAACCTTGATAACAAACTACTCTAGAAAAATTGTTTACAGTTGTCACAAATTCGATCAATTGTTTTTAAATTTTAAAATAATGCCCGTTTCTTTTTTCCATTCATTTTTGTTTGTATTGCAAAGGCGGTCTTAATATCACATGGGCCTTTTTCTGGGCAGTAACGTCGTATGAGGATCCCAGTCAACATCCATTCATTACAAGGAAAGAACTGGTCTATATCGAGACAACGAGATCCAAAAAATCGGTATGATATTATATTAAAAATATATGACACGTAACAGCTAATGGTTGTGGACCATACTTTCATGCCACATGTATGTGTACAGTGCATGTGACTTTCACCCAGACTGGGCCAATTCTAATCATTTTGATGATTCCCAAACTTCTCAATACACAACATTGATTATGGGCTACATGATCAACCTTTTCCAATCACTTCCACATATCTTCTTCTTTACAAGCAATTGCATGACCAGGGGGGGGGGGGGGGGGGGGGGTGTTTCACAAAGATCCTAAGTTGAACTTATCTCTAAGTTGGACTTAAAAATTATGGAGAGCCATTCGTAGCATTAAATAAAATGTATTCAAAAGCAAAAACTCATGTATTTTAGACTTTTCATAAATTCCACATCAAGAACATTGAAATCTCCTTGACAATAGAAAATACAAATGATTTGAATCAACAATTTTATGCCTTTTAAAATAACTTTTACAGAAAATTTCAAAGATGCTAACGGCTTTCCATTATTGTTAAGTCCAACTTAGAGATAAGTTCAACTTAGGATCTTTGTGAAACACCCCCAGAACTTAACGTTAGTCTGTAGGCCTACACCCAAGTCACACCGATGAGACATTATTATACAGTTTTTTACACTGCAATACAAAATCGTTGATTTTCTCACATTCTGGTGTTTCGCCGGTACTTGCATTGCATAGCCAGTAAGCAACTACAGGCGAACACGACGAAAAATCGAAATAGAAAAATCCACCTCTGGAGTGTGGTTTTTTTAAACGCCTCTCGAAGTTTCACCGATTTTTGCAGTGTAAATGCAAAGTCTAGTAATTATTATATACCTCATACATAGATTGTCATTCACTGATTGGTCAAGACTTTATCACATGTCAAGGAGCATTTCGATCTATCAAGTATCATTACGTCAGAGGGGTTGATAGCTACTATCAAACCCTGGGATAGGACCCCTAACCCCTCCCGCGACTTAGTTGCGCACACAAATTGTTTGAGTTGCTAGGCTACCACAATCGCGCGGTTACGCGCAGCGCGTAGGAATTCAATACTCTTGCCTTGGACTAGACTTGATGTTGTATTTTTCTTATTTGGGTTAGTAAACTCCTATTGATCTCGTTTCCTGTTTTTAGAGCTAGATCTAGACCTACAGCTAGACCTAATCATGAATCAATAAAAAGGATGAGGTATATAAAACAAATATGGACTGCTCTGTAATCGGATGATGGTGGGAACTACCACTCCCTCGGTGGTGTTCACACCGGCCCTTCTAACACCCCCTCGGCTACGCCTCGGGGGTGATAGAAGGGCCGGTGTATACGCCACCTTGGGAGTGATAGTTCCCACCATCATCCTCATGAGCAGTCAATATTTGTATATTATTACCCGTATCAAACATCTGAGCTGGTCATTTACAAAACCGTATTGCCCTAGTTTTCACTAGCAGTGGGAACGGAGGGGTATATTCTTTGTATTTTTCCTTGGTCTCCCTGCGCGTATTGACTTTGCGTGTAGAGACGAGTGAAAATATACCTTGGTATTTTCCACGGTCTCGCATTTTCATTGCGCATCTATTAATATTATGCGTACGAGAACCTGCGCACTTTGCGCGCACTGTATTGTGACGTAATAATCAAACCAAATACACACTGTTTGTAGTGCATCGAAAATTTTGTCAAGCACTGGATGCAAAGTGTTGGTTTGACAAAGTTTGTTCAGTTCTTGAGATTGTCATGGTGGATGTCTGTATTTGCTCTAGATGTCTGATTTTAATAACAATAAAAATATTGACTGGCTTTACTTTCGGGGGATATCAGAAATATTGACCGCGCTAAGACCATATTGCCCTCGTCTTTCGACTCGGGGCAATATGATCTGAGCTTGGTCAATATTTCTGATATACCCCTCAAGGCCAGTCAATATTATATAATTATATACCTCATACATAGATTGTCATTCACTGATTGGTCAAGACTATATCACATGTCAAGGAGCATTTCGATCTATCAAGTATCATTACGTCAGAGGGGTTGATAGCTACTATCAAACCCTGGGATAGGACCCCAAACCCCTCCCGCGACTTAGTTGCGCACACAAATTTGTTGAGTTGCTAGGCTACCGCAATCGCGCGGTTACGCGCAGCGCGTAGGAATTCAATACTCTTGCCTTGGACTTGATGTTGTATTTTTCTTATTTGGGTTAGTAAATTCCTCTTGATCTCGTTTCCTGTTTTTAGAGCTAGATCTAGACCTACAGCTAGACCTAATCATGAATCAATAAAAAGGATGAGGTATATAAAACAAATATGGACTATCTATATTTGCCCACGTGACTCTCCTCGCTTCCGTGGAAGCGCATGCAGGGCACCGACAAAGTGGTGCATGCGCACTACTCACTAAAAAATTGGTACAGATGCATTTATAAGCAAACTTCGATGGTTTTTATGAGTTTTTTCCTCTAGTGTAGGGGCAGATCTAGGGGGGGGGGTGTTTTCGGCGGCCAAGTGAAAAAGAAAAAAAAGTTAAACAGTAAAACGGCGCGATCTTTGGAAATATTTTTGGTCAACCCCCCCCCCTTGGCTTAAAGCTAGATCCGCCCCTGTAGTGTAAATGGAAGTCCCCCCCCCCCCCCCCCCCCCCCCCCCCCCCCAAAAAAAAAAAAAAAACGAAGATTTTTCAAATTAGTGTTTGGGATGTGTAAATGGCCTTATGTTGACAATAGACCGAAAAAAAATATTACCCCGAATGGAAAGGATCGGTCCGTTTAGAATTGGTTTAGAGTCCGTTTGCGGTGTAACTGAGGTTTAACTCCGTGTCAACACTCGATATTCCATCTCTTCAAATGAAAGGTTGAGAAGAAAAAAACGTTCATGAAGAAAAACCAAACTTATTAAATCGGACGGGAAAAATTTAGAAACTAAAAACCCTCAGATTCATTTTAAAAAATATGGAAAATGTATGAAAATATGAAGAAATAAACTATTATCAACAGGATTAACATTATCACTGTTATCATTTTTTCCTTCATTTCATGAATTTTCTTCCCACATTCTAGGATAATAAGAAGGTGCCTATCCGGTCCATCTTACTCTCCTTACCGTTCATCGCTTTCACCGTAGTCTTTTTCGGCACTGGTTTTGTTTACTTCAGCCTGGCATGCAATCTCCCTATCTATTTCAAACACGTATTGGGGTTTGATATTTTGTCTGTAAGTCCCATGTTTTTTATCATTGATATCAGGGCTGTCACCAGAGTTTTTAAATGGGAAGGGGCAATAACAGTAGAGAATGCAAATGATTAGGCGCTTGATTTTTTTGTTGTTGTTGGGGGGGGGGGGAGGGCACCATCCCCACCTCTTCTTACGCAACACCTCTTTACTAGATGTAAAGCTACTTTGACTTTTAAGTTTACATGTAATTATATCTAAGGGATAATGCCTTTTCGAGCTGAAATTGTCTTCAAACAAAAGCCCTCCTCCGCTTTTTAAATCTTGTTAAAATAAATGCCTGTATATTTCACTTAGCCAGTTCATCGTTCTATTTAATCGGCGAACAACAAAAAAATAAGGGTCAACCAAAGTTATAATTTACCCCCGGCCCCGTGGCGTCTTTCCAGTTGTGCAACTCAAGTCAACGAATGAAAACCTACATTTTTGTTCTCTCTTTTACTCAAACGAGACATTGTATTACTTTATATCATTTTAACAACATTGCATATAGAGTGTGATAACAATATATATATACGAAATCAACAGACTGATCAAATAAGATAGGGGAGACAACACAAAGCGGAAGGGAAAATCAAAGCATGGATAGAAATGCGTTAAAAGCTTAACTAAGACAGATACATCGTAATATTACTTATTATTATTTCTTGGTCTCGTATTGCCAAATGACGTAAAACCTGAAATCGCTTTTGAAAGCCATCCAAATTGAATGACTATTGAAGGATTTACTTCTAAACTGATTAAGCATAAAAACCTTATAAATTACATACGGTGCGTAAACGTAGTACATTCATGAGCAGAGACTCGGCGTCGTCAATGTTAAAACCAATTATTATTTTTGGAACAATTCATTACTAGACGATGAGAGTGCGACTTGGCGACATCTATAAGCAAAATGCGTATAAACGGTTCTGGTTCGTTACAATAAAGCATATCGGATGTGATTTTCCACTTATGCAGATTATCTTTGAAGGGTAAAACTTTATGAAGCAATTTAAAATTAAATTGTCGAACTCTGTTGTCTTTGATCTTGTTTAAAGTTTAAAATCTAATACACGCCTCCACTCAAAATTGATCGGTAGTTGCAGTATTTCCTGCCAAAACAATGACACCGGATCGAGTTTTTTTTTTTTTGGGGGGGGGGGGGGGGGGGGGGGGACTCGTTCAAGAGAATATAAAAGTGTTTTGCTTTCATTGTATTTAAAACTAATTTTATGTTCATTATTGCAAAGTTGAAACTTTGATTCGACAAGGTTATCAAAATTCAATGCTTGGAAACATTCGAGGTAATGATTATTATAAATTACAAAACGCTTAAATACAGCCTCGGCATAGCACCTGAAGAGCTCTCCAAACGCTGCTGAGATGTGTGAGATCACAGTATGGACATGATTTGCACAAGCAGACGATGTCCCATGACATCTTACACATTTTCAGTGCCTGTGTTTTCATCTTCTCTTAAGTTCTTTCTCTTACTACACTACCGTCAGGCTAAATGTATAATCTATTGCCTCACTCTAAACCCAGCGCATGTTTTTATAATAATAATAATAATAGTACATGAGATTTATATAGCGCCATTATCCATTTTAATTAAATGCTCAAGGCGCTTCAAAATATTAGGGAACACATTACATCATGACAAAGAATCGTATACATTTACATAAGAAAGAAAATGCAAAAATGAAAGATTTATTTTGATGACAAATGCAGCGATACAAAAATAAAGGAATCTGTCGCTTGTAAACAAAATAAAACGACATTGTATATTCGGCTGCACACACCGCGGTATGTTCGGCGTTCTAAGAGGGAACAAATGCTGTCCTTAGTATCATTCCGGGGGTTTTCAATTTGAAAGTCTGGTTTCTTTGATTGTTCATTAACCCCTATCCTGTGTATTTACAAGAAAAAAATTAGTTATCAGAATTGGGTCATATCCCCTTTTGAATGGTTTGACATGCCATTACATTTATATACACTAAACTCATTATAATTTTGACAAATAATAGCTTTGCAATTCTGTTCATTCTTTATGGGATGTCGTCTGCTTGGGTAGTATTGGTCCATATAGTGACGTCATTATAACATCGTTATTTTTCCGGCAAATCTCTCGTATATACCAGCTGCTATGGCGGTGGTTGTATTTGTATTTTTATAAATCACCCGATATGTAGTTGACCTAAAACTTGTAAGATGGCCATCTGTTAACTTACCAGTTTCTAGTGATACATTAGTTGACATATTTGTGATTTTCTTTGAATTTCACCTTTAAATAACTTAAGTCGCCGTTCAATGGCTCATACATTTCTTCCGAAACTTCTGTTTCGATTGAATTAAAATTGTTGTTTTTTTGTTTTTTTTAATTCCATTTCATTTTTCAGCTTTTTTTACATTCCACATCCATGTACTTTTATTTCTACAGGTCGGCTTTCTAACATCTATTCCATATGTGTGTCAGTGGATAATCTCACTGCTTGCGTCATCCATAGCAGACGCTCTGATTGGTCGAAATATCCTAAGTAGAACATCGGTGCGGAAATTTACAATTTGTTCAGGTAGAGTAGTTTCTCTTTCTATTTCTCTCCCTCTCCCACAGACACGCACATACCCATGCATGCTCAGACCAGGTACATGTTCAGACTTGGTCCATGCAGTGGCGGATCCAGGGGGCCCTCTCCCGTGGGGGAAAAAGGGGAAAAACACGTTAATTTTACCTGTCTTTGGAGATGGGCCCCCTCCCCTGGCGCTCAAGGGGGAGGGGGTTGCGATATTTCAGAAAATACACTAAAATACGAGAAATGATATATATATTATGTCTATGTGTGTACGTATGCATAGGCTATCTCTTTTTCAATGCACACTTTCACACACTCTATCCTATCTGGATCTGCCCCCCCCCCCACCCCGCCTCTCTCTCTCTCTCTCTCTCTCTCTATTTCGCACTCTCTCTTCAGTGCTTTTTTTTTGTTGCATTTTCAAAGAGTTACAACAATCTTTCTTCAGCATTTTCCACCAATATAACTTTCTCATTTTCTTCTTCTTCGTTTTACAGGAGCACTGATAATGGCTGCTTGTTTTTTTGATGATCTCTTTCGTCGTGCAAAGGAACACGTCTTTCATCGTTATACTTATGAGTGTGATGTATGGAGCAATGGGCTTGGTGTTTTCAGCTGCCTTCGTTAACGCTCTGGACATCGCGCCCAGCTACTCCGGCACGGTAACCGGCATCGGCAACGCCATCGGTGTCACATCCGGATTCATTGCCCCTGTCGTGACGGCAGTGTTTACTGAGGATCAGGTGCGATCCAGTCGTAACCATTCTATTCTTAGATCCCTTGCACGCGAAAATAATAATGATCTTAATGGCGGAGTCTTGTGTAGCGCTCATGTCTGGCACATTGCCACTGCTGGCGCTCCATTTATATTACAATCCCTGGACCTAGCTTTAGCACGGCTGCCACTATACAGTGCTCGAGCATGTTAAGAAAGTATAGGGTGTACCGTGTAGCAGTTTACTCACCTGGGCCGGATGGAGTATGGCCACAAAATGTAGATTGATGTCTCGTCACAGAATAATAGTTCAGCGATAATAATTCGAATCCCGTACCCTGTGGTTCACAGTCTAAAGACGTATGAACTAGGTGGACCACAACACCTTTACGATGCGTCATTTCGAGCTGCGCTGTATACCTGCGCCAGTCAAGCCCCGAAAGACAAGCGCCAGTTATCAAGCTCATTGTTTGAGCTGCTCGTGTTTCCTTAGCTTTGGTTACGATATGCCTTTTCCCTACTCGCAAGTCAATGACCGCGCCAGTCGTCGACGCTATTCGCCGTCAGCGAAATACCGCCTCGTGTGCTACGCGCTTTAGACCTGTCGCACACAATGCGTCATTTTTATAATTACGTTATTAACTATAGGCATACCCTAATCAAGCTAACGGAGGCATGCGCCAGTACGTCAACACTAATGACACGTCAAATGCCGTGCACGTCGCTGACGCAGTCCTACGTCAACAAAGGCGCCTCACGCACGATGCGGTCTATCATAATCAAATATATTTACTTAGCGATATAGGACCAAATCCCATTGTTCATAAAGCGTCATGTTTGACGTAGGGCGACGTCAGTGACTGGTTCGGCCTTTGACCCTTCATGTGAAAGTAACACGGTACTAAAGGTGAAGGAAATCATGAACGACGTAAAGAATAATTGTAATAACTGATGCATGCGCTGATTATTTGTATACATGCTAGAATGGTGAAGGTTTAACACAATCGAAATGACGCTTCGTGCGCAACTGTTATTTAATTGCATAGATTGTACAAAAATCACCATTATGTCATGTATTAAGATTTCTTTCAAATCCCCTATTTCTAGATAATTAAGGCATCATTCCAGGAGAGTGGGTCGAAAGATATACTTTCACATATAAGAACAAAATTAACACAACTTTTTAATGGAATTGAATGACGCAAAATAATGCAATTCCTGTCTAACTACCTCTTTCTCTCTCTCTCTCTCTCTCTCCCTCCCTCCCTCTCTCTCTCTCCCGTTCATTCAGGCCGATCCTGCGGGATGGAGGACTGTATTTATCATCACTGTCGCAATCATTCTCATCAGTGCCCTCGTCTTTCTCGTCATCGGCTCAGGCGATGTCCAACCCTGGGCTATCCCAATAGATGCTAATGTGAATAGAATGGACAAGAACCAACCAATCACGGATCCTGAGGAAAATGCAGCAATGATGGAGAAAATAATTACGAAATTACCTTGAACGACTATGGTCCAAGAAACCGAAAGCTCACGAGACCGACTGTGCTGGTCCCATAGGCCTCCACTGACAACGTTTTAGAAAGACTGACGGCCCACGCGGGACCAACAGCTAACTATACCAACAGTGTCGTTCTCGAACATGGGCAGCTTAGCCATTTTTTCAGAGGGTTCACTATTATTAGACCTACGACGCATGTATATGAGACCGATAACTATCCGAAGAGTCATTATTTTGTCTATACTCTATGTATTTATTTGTTTTGTTGGTCTAGTGGCTGGGGTGTCGGTCTTTCGTTCCATTGGTCTCGTACTGACCATTTGTGACCATTAAAATAAAATTGTTTACAGGATGTCACCTTAAACCAGTGACGGATCCAGGGGGGGGGGCGGCCCCCCCCCCCCCTCCCCCTGGGGAAAAAAACATGTAAAAACACGTGATTTTTAGCTTTTTTTTGGGGGGGGGGGTGCAAATGTGCTCACTACCCCCCCCCCCCCCCTGGGGAAAAAACATGTAAAAACACGTGATTTTTAGCTTTTTTTTTGGGGGGGGGTGCAAATGTGCTCACTACCCCCCCCCCCCCCCCCCCCCCCCCCCCCCACCCCCACTGAGCGACTTTTCGGCCGGCGCGATTTTCAAATTTCCGGGAGCAAAAAAAATAAAAATAGTAAATAGTGCTCACTACCCCCCCCCCCCCCCCCACAGATATATTTTTTGATTTTTGCTGGATCTAGATATAAACAGTAAGACAACATTATTTTTATAAATACTCACTTTGTGTCAGTTGTAATGCAATAAATATAATCATATCAATAAAAAATAAAAAATTATACTGAATCTTAAATAAGATATGCGTATCTTGCATATACGCATGGACAATTTGCCTTTGCGTTTATTTCTTTAAAGTCTCTGTGATCGTTGGTATGAAATATCATGTAATAAATTAATAGGAAACACCTTAAACAATGCAGTGCACGTATTAGTGAGCATTAAGATCTTATATGATAATAATAATAATAATAATAATGAACATTTGTATAGCGCCTTTTCTACAAGTAGATACAAAGCGCTTAATTAACATATACAATGAACAATTAACAAAATAGAAAGATGCTTAACAACAGACATGTATGTAACAATATAGGAATGAACAAAATAAAGGGTAAGACAGGTGATAGAAGAGCAAGAACAAGTGCTGGTAAGCTGGCATTAGTTAAACAAGTGTGTTTTTGAGGTGTTTTTTGAAAGTCATTAGAGAATCAGCAGTTTGTACAAAATTGGGGAGATTGTTCCATGATTTTGGAGCAGTGGCTATGAATGCCCGCTTACCAGCAGTGGCGGATCCAGGGGGGGGGCCCGGGGGGCCCGGGCCCCCCCCCCCCTTGAGAAAAAAATCATGTAAAATCACGTGATTTTTACCTTTTTTGGGGGTTGGGCCCCCCCCCCTGGCGCTCAAGGGGGGGGTGCGAATCGAAATTTTTTTGAGGATCAAAAAAAAAAAATGTGCTCACTACCCCCCCCCCCCCCCCCCCCCCCCCCCCCCCCCCCCCCCCCCCCCACTGAACGAATTTTTGGCCGGCGCGTTTTTCAAATTTTCGGGAGCAAAAAAAAAAAAAAAAAAAAAAAAAAAAAAAATTGTGCTCTGTACCTCCCCCCCCCCCCCCCCCCCCCCTGAGCGACTTTTCGGCCGCGCGATTCTCAAATTTTCGGGAGCAAAAAAAAAAAAAGTTGGGCCCCCTCCCCTAAGAAATCCTGGATCCGCGCCTGCTTACCAGCATTGGTTCGACACCTTGGGGTATCTAAAACTGTACGAGTGTTGGATCTTAGGTTGTAACTGGAGTGCCTAACATGAACGAGATCAGTAAGATATGATAGAGAGAGAGGGAGAGAGGGGGAGAGAGGAGAGAGAGAGAGAGAGAGAAAGGGAGGAGACGCACAGCTGACGTACGGCCCGGAGAGAAAAAGAGTCTCGAAAGTGCAAACAATACGGAGGAAAAAAAAGTGGGGGGGGGGGCCGGGCAGAGAGAAAACAATCTTCACGGAGAGAAATTTTAAAATACACCTTCTAAAAGATACCAAAAACAGGCAATGAAGCCCCAGGGGCGGCGATTTCATGTCATGACCGGGGACGAAATGCGAGGACGAGGGAGCAGTGGCGTAATAAGCAAAAAATTTCGGGGGGGGGGGGGGGAATGCAGAAAAAAAATCCACATCGTACCCGCTCTTACATGTTACATGGTGGCCACGAGGAACGTTTTTCAAAGTGTGTGTGTGGGGGGGGGGTTAATGTATTAACGATCAGGTGGGGCAAAACGAGCAAAGCAAGTGGAACGTAAATTGGTGTATAGGGTCTAGGGGCAAAGACCCGCAAGGGGCATAGCCCCATGAAGCTCAGGGGTTGTAGGCATTTAATAAAGGTCAGGTGAGCATTCAGGGGCCCGCCTTAGGGCCACCTTGTAGGGTCCAGGGCGGAGCCCCTGGAAGCTCAGGTGTTTTAGCCATTTAATTACGGTCGGAAAAGCATATTTTGATACCAGTTATAAAATGGCATGCACGTCACTAATTGGTCACGCCCCCCAGAATCTAAGGGGTTTTATGCACTAACTTACGATCAGATTAGGGCCCTTGGTGGGTTCCAGTGGGCAAAGCCCCCGGAAGCTCAGGCTTTTTGAAGCATTTAATTACGGTCAGGGGCCCGCCTTAGGGCCCTTGGTGGGGTCCAGGAGCCAGAGCCCACGGAAGCTCAGGGACCATGCCATTTCAGCAACATTTGTAAAGCACTGGTATCGAATCATAAATAAACCACGTTTGAATTTTGGGGCAACCCCTGTAACCCCCCCATCCAGGCGCGTACACAGGGGGGGGGGTGGGGGGTTAACCCCCCCCCCCTTGGTAATTTTTTGTGTGTAAACCCCCCCTAAATTTCTCTAAACCCCCCCCCCCTTTGGATTTTTTTTCCCCATGGTTGACCTAAAAAAGCTGACCTTACCCCCCCCCCCCACCCCCAACGGAGCAAAATGTCAAATTTTCAAATTTCGAGACCAAAAAAAAAAAAGAAGTGTCCTCTTACCCCCCCCCCCCCCCCCCCCCCCCCCCCCCCGCTTATTCAACGGCTGGCTGAGTCGTTGCGAAATTTTCGGCCCGATTTATAAATGTTGAAACCCCCCCCCCCCCCCCCCCCTTGAAAAAATCCTGCGTACGCGCCTGCCCCTATCATTACCCCAGTGCGAGGGACGAGAGGGGTGAAGGCGGCGGAAGTGACTACCCCCTCACAGGTTTTGAAGTTTTGTGGTATTAAAAAATAACATTCCTTAGCAAAACTATAGTATAAAAACAAGCAATATAATTTGTTCACACTTCACTTTTCTACAATATTTACTTGTACACTTTGAAGGATATTATGCGAGGGAGCGAAAAGGTTTTTGCATTTCATTTTTCTAAACGCCGCTCTCTTGGGCCCTCCCTGGCCTAAAGTTTATTGCAGTCTTTATACACTTTTTTGTTGGCACTTTTTCAAA